TACAATAGCGACGATTATTATTTTAAAAAATTTTTGTTAGGCTTAACATCGATGAAAATTCAACGCAAAATAGGTTAATAGCGATATACTAATATACTAATTACATGGGATATAATAATATACTACACTAATAATGGATTTTTTCATACTTTTCGGTTATCCGACTTTTCAATTATCCGACCAACCCCAGTCCCCAATTAGGGCGGATAATCGAGGTTCTACTGTAAAATTTATTAATATATTATATGTCATAATATTAATATTTAATATTTATTAATACTATAAAGGCAGATAATTAAAACTAAAGGTAAGGGGCTATCCAGAAATTACGTCCGCATTTATCTTGAATATTCTAGTTCCCTTTTTCCTTTTGTTCCAGTTTGTTCAATTTTTCTCCCCTTTTCGGACGTCCAACAAAACTAAACCCACTTCACAATCTTTATCATATTATGAATAATAAAATGCATAAACTGTATAACATTTAATGGACTTTATTGAAGTTAAATCCCTTTTCTCTTCCTTGTTTGACTTGCGTTTATACACTGGTGTGCAAAACTTAAGCAACAGTGTTATTTTTAAGCAGACAGCAATGAAATTGTAGAAAAGGGTTTGTTGCGATCATTACAACGATCACCCAATTTAGTAGAAATATGATTCATATTCAGGAATAAGACATGACAAGCGAGAACACAAGCAGTCAGCGCACACATTACAAGACTACAATAAGGAGGTTTTGATTCCATACTGTATGCTTTCTACTTAATTTTGTGCAAGTATGCTGCCTATGTATTTTGAATTTCATCTCTTCCTGATGATTTTTTGCAAAGTTACGGCCAAAAAAAATTATTGCTTATGTTTTGCACACAAGTATAAAGAGCCCCTAATAATTACATTTAAAAATAATAAAATAATAAGTAAAAAATAATAAGTTTTACATGGCCAACGATTATTTAATATTAATAAAATAAAAGGACGACTCTTACAAAAAAAAAAAAAAATTTTGTTTCAGTCATTTCTTTCGTTGTTCGCACCATCAGCAGTTCATAAATGACTGAAATGACTGAAACAAAATTTTTTTTTTGTAAGAGTCGTCCTTTTATTTTATTAATATTAAATAATCGTTGGCCATGTAAAACTTATTATTTTTTACTTAAAATGTATTCTGTGATTGTGGCAAGAACACCAGATGACGCTTTTATCATTTTTGCATTTTAACTACAAAGGCAATAGCCTAAAAAGGAAGGTCGTCTCCGTGAGTTTGTGATTTTATGAACTGCTGATGGTGCGAACAACGAAAGAAATGACTGAAACAAATTTTTTTTTTTTTGTAACAGTCGTCCTTTTATTTTATTAATAATAAAATAATAATTAAAACTGGCCTTTACTCCGAAACTAAAAGTGAAGTAAAATTCAAAATAAAATAATCAAATCAATTGAAATATAGTATTGTGGGACGTATGGAAAACGTGCTTGTTTTTCATCTTCATTGGTTTGATTATATTTCATGCATGAAGTCAGAGTTGAATTTCTATTTTTAACACTTATTTGTAGTGTTAGCTTCGCGTTCGGTTGGCAGTGACGAAATATTTTGCTTTTAATATACATATAGAATAGATATAGATATAAATATAGATAAAAATAATATCATATTGTCTTTATCGGCATTTTTATGCATGAAATGCAGCTAAAAAAGGTAAAAAAAAAACAAAAGGTTTCGTTTTCGGATTCAAGTACGGCTTAATCCATTTTACATTGTTTCTTATGGAAAAATTTTGTTTAGATTTTAGAACAAATCAGTTTTCGAACATTTTTTAGAAACGAGATAACTTCGAAACCAGAGGTTTGATTGTGAATATGTATAATACAGGAATTCTTGATCAACAGTTAATTAATCGATGCTTCCGTGTAAATCAAAATCGCGTAGATCAAATACAGCGGTTCCTCGGTATTCGAACGAACAATCACCACCCGCTACAACAAATTTTCGGTTAATAACAACAATTCCTATTTTTATTTTATCACAAAGAAAAAGATTTTCAGTAAAAAAATGAGCAACTAATTTAAAAATAAAATAAATCCTTAAGGCTCCATTGAAGATTTAAAAAGAAGCAACCCAACTACAAAGAGGGGAAAGTATGAGTCCCAAGTGCTCAAGTGTACGGGAGCCTCTGCTATTCACTCATCTTTACATTTTTATTTCTCTGCAGACTTTTGCTGTTGAACGGATATTCCAGGGAACTAAACTTCAAGCTACTGCCTTGGAAAATCTGCGATCAAATTCGAGTGAGTATCCTTAGGAATTTTTCACCAATGGTCTGTCTCGAATATATCGAGCCTCGTCCTTTCCACTCGGCCGTCCCCCTTGTGGGTCTGACGAAATCCGCAAAGGAATTGTATAAAATACATTTATAAGTGAAAACAGGACGGAAAAAGTTAAAATGAAAACTTCAATTTACTATCAAAATTACGTTTTCTCTTTACACGTCGTCATAATAAAGCTGGCAATTTTATTCTTATCAATTGTTATTAAAGTATTATTTAGTTCCAGCTGTTCACATTATGGATTCAGAGACAATCGAACTTGTACCATCAGATGTGGGTAAAATACTTATTTCTTCATCCACTTTTAATAAAATTCGCAACGAGCAGCTGGAATCTATAATGGAACGCGGAAAAAATTCAAGGATTCTGAAACTGCCATATTTAACAGAAGTTGTCGCTCGGATGGTTAAGTGAGATAATCTTAATATATTGTATCTTAAAATATAAAAGTAGAAATATTTGCGTTGTCATAAATATATTCTGTACTTATCTTGCAGCTATCTGAGTACAGACGACACTCACTTAAAATCTTTGGGCAGCGGTTTCCAGTTGTATGACTTAAGCATAAAATATTCAATTAAAATTTTAAACAGGAAATGCGAAAAGTTCATTATCGATCGGTTAGGTACGAAAAATGTGTGCGCAATTCACGATTTTGCGTGCAAAATGAATCTCTCTCAGATACAACATCGTTGCTGGAAAATTTTCGATACGTATTGGACAGAGATATTCGAGGGAGATGATTTCAAATCCTGTGAAACTACGACAATAGACAGGTTAGTGTCTCGTCCGTTATACACAAGTATGGACGAATTGGATATATTTCTGGCCGTCTACAAGTGGCTCGAAGAGAAGATCAAACGAGAAATGGGAACGTCATTGTTCAAATAGATGAAAACGCCAAGAAACAAAAATTTCTTGAAAAAATCAGATTCTTAGCCATGAGCAAACAGGAATTAATTAATAAAATATTCAAACTGAATTTGTTTACCTTAGAAGAAAAAAAATCCATTCTCGTCTATAAGAAAACCAAAAATTTTTCAGATTATCCGAGTTATTTGAGCAAAAACTCAAACGACAGATGCAGGAGCAAATATTCAAATTACGCACCTCTATTTGAGTTTAAACATGTTAAAGAATCTCCTCGCGTAACCGCCGAAACTAAGAAACCATTTACATTTTTCAGCACCGAGATATTTGTGAGGGAAGATTGTTTCGTCACTAATCTCGATCTTCCCATAACTCTTAACTGTAAATACGTACCAATGCATATCTATGGTTACATAAATTCGGTAAAAAGCGGCGTTTTTCATTTGGAATCTTTCTGCAATTCCCTAGGAAAAGTAGAGTTTTTTGAACCAATATTCGTTGGGAAGAATTCGACTTGTCGTCTGTGCTCAGTTTTTGCTCACGATCATTGGCTCCTTCACAACATAAATATATTTTTACGATCGGCAGAAACCTTTGCTACTCCCGAACGATCGGAGGGGATGTTATTCGAGGAAAAGTTGATTAAAGATGGGATCATTGAAGAAGAAAGTGATAATTTTTACTTCCTGCTCTACTTGTATTTTTGAAATTAATCCGTATATTGCTTCAATTATTTCCCGTTTATTAAAAATTTAATTAACAATTCATAGACAATATTTTTAAAATACAATTGATGTATTTAAACATTTTCAATTTTTAACACTTTTCGGTTTTGTAGTCATTAATTAAGGGGTCTATTTATATAATAACTACTGCTAATGTAACGTTGAAGAATGTGATGTGTCTTGAAACTTAATTTTAGACTTTTACAAATAATTTCTACTATTCGAAAAGTAGGAATTTAAAGTCAGTTAATTTGGCACCTATGGACCAGAGCGATGAGTATTATTAAAACAAAATACAGATTACCGAACGTTCCTGTACAAGGTGTGTCACTTTAATTCCTGGAATGGCCGCTTATTGTTGATCGTGATATAATTATATCGAAACAACATACACATTTGTGTTCGAACGTGTTTGGACTAATACTTGCATCATTCTCAAGCTGAAAGAGCTAGTTGTCAATTAGCTATTGGGAAGGTAATCGTTATCTGCAAAATTGCCAGATTTGGCTTTTTTGCGATTAAGAATATTATATAAAAAAATAAATTTTTTATAGTCTGTCATGGCAAGTTCATTTGTTGCACAATTCGTTACAGTCTATTTTGCAGACAAAATAAGTGTTCTCCACATAGTAAATTACAGTGAATACAGTGCACGTACTGTATTTTGAGTCTTGCGATCTTTATTTCCGATCAGTTTACAGGCGTGTAAATGGCCGAAAACATTTATTGTGATTAAAGTTATTTCAAGCTGATCTTGTTCTTAGTGCCAATAATTGTGGTGCAGAGTAATCTTCACCAAACGAGACTCTGGCAGCAATAGCACCATCATGAAGCAACAGCCCTCTCGTACAGGAGGTTATTGTTGACTATTGTAAATTGGTGCTTCAATAAACTGTCGTAAATTAATTAATTCAACTGCGTAATAAAGTTATTCCTTTTTCTCTCCTAAGCGAAGCAGATTTATTCTTATCTCTATTTATCAACCCCTAACATTGAACGTAAGATTGTATAAAAAGTGTTCGAGTTATATGGCGCATCTAAACTCATCTGTCAAAAAATTGGCGCATGGTACGCAAAAGGTTGGCCACCCCTAGTCTAGAGTAAAATAAATTTTGTTTTCCCACAGTTAAACTTCGCTGCTAATTGCTGTTGTGATAACTCTAATACGATCTTCTAACGACACCACTTTGCCTTTCGTACATTTTCCAACAAATTGAAATGAATTTCTTTTGTTGCTAGAGTAATTTATTAACACCTGCACATAATTTCGAGGGTGGCAGAAGTGCCCGAGATGGGTTCGAACGAGAGTTTAGACTAATTCATTATATTAGGAGGTGGAAACGTTGTTGAGATGGGTTCTTACAATAGTTTAGACCAGATACATTCGCGAAAGTGGTCGCTTATTACAGGTGTTGTATGTTGTTTCGGACCAAAAATCGATGCCCGCGGTCGCGTTACACAGGTGGTCGTTTAATACAGGTAACTTATACGAAGACTCTATGGATAAACTATTACGTGCCAGAAATTTTTGCCCGTTTTGACAGGTGCCCGTCGAATGCAGGTGGTCGCCTAAGCAGTTTTCACTGTATATGAAAACTGAAAACTTCCATTTTTATATACCCAAAATTTTTGAAATATAAAGGATATCATCAAAAATTTATTGATAATAATCGATAAAAATATTTATAATTCCAACCAATGTGTTTTATATGATTGATATTATATTAAACAATTTAATATAGTGTCAAATTTAACTAAAACTTTTGAAATTTTTAATATAACAATTTCCAATTACATACTTAACTTTATGCTTCCAGGGCCTTAAATTGTCATTAAAAGCCACAGATACTTGGAGACAAAATGCAAGGAATAATGCAACTATGATTACATCATCCATGATTGGAGAAGAAAAATATTTGTCGGAGATTCCACGTTATGATAATCCAGCTCTTTCTCTGGATGCTCCACCCGACTATGATTCTAGGCTCTAACATTGTACATTATTCATTGCTCAAATTATATAGTAATATTTTATTATCTATTTTTATATTCGTATTTTAACCAAATATCATTGCAGAAAATCATGGTGCAATATTAAGCAATATTATTTATAGCTGTATTTCAAAACGATATTGGGCAAAATGATTTAAAAATCGAACTTGAAATAATAATTCAAAAAAAAAAAAAAATTCCTCCTATTATTACAAACGCGATGGATTATTCTGAAGATATTTTTTTTATTATCACGAAAGAAAATTTTCGACAAATAATGAATTCTTACCAGAACATTGGATTGATGTCATTGACGGAACCAAAAATTTTTAATCTCGTAATAGAATATGTTAACAAAGTTTAACGTGGACAATGTTTGGGACTGCCTTTGGAATTAAAAATACTAGGAATAATTCAACTTCAATCACTATTTTGTAAACAAACTTTAAAAAGACGTTTTTCTGAATGCTGAAGGATAAAGGCATCATCCTGTCGTGCTGGAGAGTCAGGGTTTGAATCCTGGCTGTTCAGAAGTTTTCAGATAATAGTATGGCACACCATTCTTCTGGATTAACCTTTGTGCGCCTGCCCAAACCTACAGTAAAAAAACGATACTTTTTTAGTAATCAGAGCGGAAATAATTTTTGAAAAGTTTCTTTTGGTTAAAGAATAATATGTCACTACCAAGAAAAAATTTAAAGATAAAATCCTAAACAATATTTATTAATTTCAGAATTGTTATTATAGCAATTTTAAAAATGATGTAAATATATTAGAAATGCAGTTTCGGTTATTAAAAATTAAAACACAAACTTAAATAATTTATATTTTCGTTTTACTTATATCAAACTAGGACATCGCGCGATTTGGCGTATCGCGATAGAATTGAAGTGGAGCCGGAAGGAAAGAAGCGATCCCTGCACCCAAGGGCGGATCTACATAGGGACTAATAGGGTTTAAGCCCTGGGACCCCAAGTGTCAAGGGAACACAAAAATTGAATTATTATCATAAATACTTTTTCATAAATCATAATGAAAAAATATTAAAATAATTTTAACAATGAGCACTTACCGTATAGTAAAAAATAGTTAATATAAATNAAAAATCGATGCCCGCGGTCGCGTTACACAGGTGGTCGTTTAATACAGGTAACTTATACGAAGACTCTATGGATAAACTATTACGTGCCAGAAATTTTTGCCCGTTTTGACAGGTGCCCGTCGAATGCAGGTGGTCGCCTAAGCAGTTTTCACTGTATATGAAAACTGAAAACTTCCATTTTTATATACCCAAAATTTTTGAAATATAAAGGATATCATCAAAAATTTATTGATAATAATCGATAAAAATATTTATAATTCCAACCAATGTGTTTTATATGATTGATATTATATTAAACAATTTAATATAGTGTCAAATTTAACTAAAACTTTTGAAATTTTTAATATAACAATTTCCAATTACATACTTAACTTTATGCTTCCAGGGCCTTAAATTGTCATTAAAAGCCACAGATACTTGGAGACAAAATGCAAGGAATAATGCAACTATGATTACATCATCCATGATTGGAGAAGAAAAATATTTGTCGGAGATTCCACGTTATGATAATCCAGCTCTTTCTCTGGATGCTCCACCCGACTATGATTCTAGGCTCTAACATTGTACATTATTCATTGCTCAAATTATATAGTAATATTTTATTATCTATTTTTATATTCGTATTTTAACCAAATATCATTGCAGAAAATCATGGTGCAATATTAAGCAATATTATTTATAGCTGTATTTCAAAACGATATTGGGCAAAATGATTTAAAAATCGAACTTGAAATAATAATTCAAAAAAAAAAAAAAATTCCTCCTATTATTACAAACGCGATGGATTATTCTGAAGATATTTTTTTTATTATCACGAAAGAAAATTTTCGACAAATAATGAATTCTTACCAGAACATTGGATTGATGTCATTGACGGAACCAAAAATTTTTAATCTCGTAATAGAATATGTTAACAAAGTTTAACGTGGACAATGTTTGGGACTGCCTTTGGAATTAAAAATACTAGGAATAATTCAACTTCAATCACTATTTTGTAAACAAACTTTAAAAAGACGTTTTTCTGAATGCTGAAGGATAAAGGCATCATCCTGTCGTGCTGGAGAGTCAGGGTTTGAATCCTGGCTGTTCAGAAGTTTTCAGATAATAGTATGGCACACCATTCTTCTGGATTAACCTTTGTGCGCCTGCCCAAACCTACAGTAAAAAAACGATACTTTTTTAGTAATCAGAGCGGAAATAATTTTTGAA